GTGTGGTTGTGTGTGTGTAGGTGTGTGTGTGTGTGTGTGTGTGTGTGAGTGAAAAGATGGGTGTGTTCATTTGCATGCACGTCAGCAGTACTTGTGAACTTGTCTGTCTCGTATCTATATCGGTCTGCAGATGAAATTCGAACATGTATGTCTGACTTCTTGATGTGTGTGTGTGTGTGAGTGAGCATACACCGCCACATTGTGCCTTTGTGTTAGAGTGATAATTAAAACATCAGTCAGAGAGTTTCACAGGAGTGAATCTGTGGGGCAGTGCCACAGAGGAGTTCAGCTATTCCTGAGACGTAAAACTACACATTTTCACATCCTTCATCTCCGCTCCTCTGAGCCTCTTAATAAACTCATCTTCACCCGCATCTGAAGAAAACCTCCACTCCCTGCACATCAATTAAACAAGCAAAGCCCAGCTCAGTGTCTAGGATCTGTAACTTAATCTTAAATATTCCATATTTAAATCCAGTCTCCTTTGAGAAAGTGTAAATTGAATATATTTCCCTCCCATAGATTATGTCTGAAAAGTCTTTTCAATATGGTCTGATTGTTTTCTCTGTGTATAGTGCATTATGTACAGTAATGCCACTAAATTTATGGATCTAAATGTGTTTAATCTTAGCCAATTAAATCCATATTTGTGCATGTATTTTTACAGCAAATTCCACAAGCTAAAAATGCTGGATTAGTTTTTTGCATAGCTACTGTATACATAGCTTCATGAGGTTTACAAAGCTACTCATTACAAACAGTACATGTTACTGCTGTTTCTTTAAGCTGCACAAATCAATATTTTGATATCAAAAATGGACCAAATGAGTAATGTGACAGGTCTGCACTGAGCATCAAATGGCAGATAGTCAGCAATAAGTGCCCTACTTCTGTCGGGTCAGGCTGATATCATTCCGAAGTGTCCACACAACAAAATGAAAAAAAAAACTATAAATAAGGTAATGATATAATAAATATGGTTAAATAACTTTTTCAGATTTTTTTAAATTATATTAAGTTCTACTGTCATGTTTGGCTCACATCTTTTGTTGTATCAGTGACCTCTGGTTATCGTGACACACTCTGGTGTAACCTCGGGTGGAATGACCAAAATGATTACAGACAAAAGTAATGGGTCTAACACTTCCTAGAAAGAGCTCACTGTAGTTCTGGAGTCTACCGCTACAGGTATGCAGACACTGAATTAATACAATGCAATCAGAAAAAAACACAAAAACTGAAATAGACCCTGGTGGACAAAAGCAGTGCAAAAGTTGCTAGTGAAAAACCCTGCTCTATACAGTACAAAGTGTTCACCTGAAAATGCACCCACAAGCCTGCACACAAAGCCCTGAATGACTTAACTGTGATCTAGTTCTGTTTGTACTGTACCTCAGTCTGAGAGAGAAAGGGGCAAGTGAACTTCGGCGGGTTACCGCTGGACTTCGTAGGCTTCTCAAACTGACTTTTGATGTAGTACTGGCCCGGACCGGGAACTCCCTGGTGGCAAGCAGAAAGCAAGAAATATACAGTAAGTACAAGGTAACATTTTGTGACTGTCGGGCAGAAACCTTGTATGTCCAAAACCATATTATAATAATTGAACACTGCATTGTCCCAGTTGGTATTGATGATTTTAATACTTTTCATTGGTTAAATATTTGTAAAACACACACACAGACCTAAAGGTTGACCAATAGCGATTTAAAATGACGAAATATGGAGATATGATGTTTCCATCCAACAGCAAAGATTTGTAGTTACATGCTTTGGTAATTTCACTTTTCATGTAGTCGTGTAAATTTGAAGATAAGGAGAGAGCCAAAGGAAGCGAAAAAAAAACACAGAAAGGAAAGCGGAGAAAATGATAGAGTTTGATGTCTTTCTACTTCTGAGGTAAATGAAGGGCGCACAGAGGTGAGGAGAGGATGTAAATACTATTATGAAGATGAACTAAATGAAATACGCAGCAGAGAAAAATGAAACATCTGGTGAGTGAGCAACTTGTGAAAACAAAGTAAAAGCATAGTGAGAAAAAGTCCTTTTTTTCTCTGCTCTGCAATTAAGCCATTGAGTTTGAAGAACATTTACTAGTAAGAACAGACTGAGAGAAACGTGTGCAAGTTTACTCTTTTTCATAGTCACATGAAACAATCATGTCATGTGCCAACTCAAGACTGCTGAACCATTTAAGTGCAGTAATTACTGCAGCAAACCAGTTAACAACACCAAACCTCACAGTCACAAAGATGCTGACAGTGAGTGGTAAAGAAACACACACACACACACACACATTTCCACATTCCCTAGTGCAGAGGCAAGACATTAGCATTTGTGGTAGACCCACATGGTTGCTGAGCTAGAGGTGTTCTACTGAAAAAAAAAAAAAGCATGGATTTCTGTGCAGATTGTTAGCAGTTACACCTGAATCTTGAGGGTGAACAGTGGTGAATTTCAGTACAATATGTCTTCCCAGTGCCTTAGGACAGCTCAATCTTTATTCATGAACATTGACTATAATGTCTTCTTGCCAGACACAAGTTTTTGTCCTCATGAAATGTCACATACAGGCAAACAGTATGTTAAAGTGCAGTAAAGCTGCCACTGACTTTTTTTTTGCTGATAAAATTTTGTTTTGGGGGACAGAGATGCACAGAGCAAGGCCACATATTTGGATCACTTTCAGCTTTGTGTCAGACCTGCTCAGACTCTCTGCTCAGAGTCTATAGTTGTACTCTATATAACAGTCTGTAGTTTTGCATGAATTTGTACTCTCATAGTCAGAAAAGCATTTCTGCTGATATCTTTTTTTATGTATCAAAAAACTTTTCTCAGAAGACTAAAATAAGGTTTATAAACAACCATGGGCTATGAAATTATATCTGGACAACTCAAAAAACATAATAAGCCTTATCTAAGCCAGTACAGACAGTACAAATTGAATATATTTAATTGAACATATTGTATACCAAATTTGTCTTAGTCATCTTCTCAGTTTAAAGGTATAAATGGTAAATGGTAAATGGACCTGTACTTGTATAGCGCCTTTCTAGTCTTCCGACCACTACGTGCCACATTCACCCTTTCACACACATTCACACAGTGATGGCAAAGTCCATCAAACAGAAACTAACTCATTCATACACATTCACACACCGATGCACAGCATCAGGAGCAATGCGGGGTTCAGTATCTTGCTCAAGGATACTTTGACATGGGGTGGCAGGAGCCGGGGATCAAACCAACAACCTTCCGATTAGGGGACGACCTGCTCTTCCTCGGAGCCACAGCTGTTATTATTACTTTTTCTTTACATATTTCTGTACATTTGTAAATTACTTTGCACTTCTGGTCGATGTTAACTGCATTTCGTTGCTTTGTACCTGTACTTACAATGACGATAAAGTTGAATCAAATCTGACCATGCAGCAACAATAAAACTGATCCTTTACAAATCCTCCAGTCCTTCAGGGATCAGCTGAGAGGATTTACCTCGGCTTCTGATCCAGGATTACGTCAGTCTGTAAACAGCTGTTATATAACAGATCACACAATCCTCAGTCCTGAGTCCTTACCAGTGATGTAGGACAGTCTGAACCCTTTCCCCGTCAGACTGTCATCAGAGTGGAAGTGGATCCAGACATGGTCCTGGGAAGAGATGTAGGGGGGCGGCAGGGAAGAACCACAGACCCGCAGTCCGTCCAGGCTTCTGTAGCTGCTGATGGACATCCAGTCTGAGGAGCACCGATGGGAACCCTGGAGGTCAAAGTCCTGGAAACTACGGGACAAGGAATAGGACGTTCATCACTACTTACTAAAGTTAGCATTGATCAGGGTGTGACTGCGGGTGTCTATCTTCAACATTCTCAAATGATAGCGGCTCTGATTTTATTCAATTTAACTGAATTGAGCCCACAGACCAGAACAGACTCAGTATAATGACCTACAGAACCACGTACTGTCCTATAAAATTAGTGTTAATAATAATAATAATAATAATAATTATTAAAGCTGCAAGCAGCATTGGGCGGGACCTCGCACTCCACGCAACTCGGGGCGTGGTGCGGCCGCGTCATGTGCCGTCGTAACAAATACCGACCACAACATAAAAAATGTCCTGTGAATCAGATCAAAATCGCCATGTACGCCACACCATGGGCATGCCATTTGAGGCACAGTCACAAATAGCACAACTTTTTATCTACAGTTTGTTTTGATTGTACTGACCAATTTTGAAATTGATCCGATATATTCCCTAGGAGGAGTTCGTTCAAATAAAACACACATGATTTTTGGTATGTGAGGTACAGGCACCAGTCTACACGTGTCCTGTGAATTTCATATTCATAACTAATACGGTCTCCTGCAGAGTGATTTACCCTGCCACCAGAACACCACCTAGTGGCGGATTGTTGACACGTTTTTTAGCGAGCCTCAGTGAGCCATGGGCAAGCATCGTACCAAGTTTCATTTTAATCACACGTGCCGATGCAGAGATATAAACTTCTTCATTTTAAAGAGCGCCACCTTGTGGCGATGGCCTGAAATTGTGCACGATGCCTAAGGAAGACATGGGGAACTATGGACCCAAGCTTGGTGTCTCAATATGTTCCCCAGGGGGCCGGCAAAAATGCAGTCAAGAATTCTAGCAAATACAATAGGGAGCCAGCGACCTCGGTCCCTAATTACTCTGATCCACACTCAAAAATAGCTTGAACCTTGTACAAACGTGTAAGTCTGGAATGATGGATATGGGCATGTTCTTGCCAGCTGCCTCGCAAGGTTACTGGGATATAAAGATAAAAGCAATTTACTCAAATGGCCTTGATTGCTGTAAACAAATATACTGCTCAGACATGGAGGAAGTCCTCATATATACTTTTGGCAATATTTCATACAGTTAGACAGATATTGGCAGACAACCACCTGAGAACAGGTGTAAACTTAGATAGAATGTTTTACTTAAAAAATATGTTGAATTCAACTGTGAACACTACAGTAAATGTATAATCCATCACATGAACAGTCCAAAATCCTGCTTTTAGACAACATAATAAGATAACATAAGATCACAACTGTGTTGTGAAGACGTGTGCTGCCGTATTAAAATTTGTAGCACGTTAGCTGCAGCCACTGATCCAGAGAGGAAGGACGGAGGGGAAGCAGCATCCTCCTGTTCTCCCACTGGACTACAGAGGTTCAGGTACGGAGCTGTGTTTTGCATCAGTGGCCCCCACTAGAAGACGTTTGCTTTGTGGAGAATGAAGAACCAGACGCCCACCCCCCTTCCCTCCCCCTCTGATGAGCCTGCAGCAGCTGACGGGCTCTGGCATTGTGGGATATTTCCATCAATTCCCTCTGGGGAAGTGAGTGGGGGGAGGAGGCCGCGTTTTTGTTTTTCACCGTTTGCTTTCCATAGGCTGGTAGGCCCTCTGGCTCCAACATATACATATATGATAATGAAATGCCACATTTTTCATTTTGGTTGAGGTCGGAGCTTCAAACGGCAGGAGTGGAGCGTCGTCTCTGTCGCATGAGGCAGGGAGAGGAGAGCTCAGGCTGGGCCCTAGGTGGCAACAAAGACCAGTCAAACTCTCACTCACATTGCTCAGCCTCACATCCTGACTGCTGGCATCAGTAATTGCGCGC